AGCTGAGATGAGGGGAGTTATTTTCAAAGGTTACCTCTCTTCTTCATGCTATGCTCTGGGAAGGGATAATACAGAATGTTATAAAGAAGGGGCTTTATCTGAGGGTTCCCCTAAGCTCCATTGTCCTGCTGGTGTTTGGATAGAGTAGGGATAATAGCCACTCTTGGCAGGTAGTGATAGACAGAAGTGTCCAGAAGTGTTCAAAGGCTTTCACAAATTAGAGCTAAGTATAGTTCCAAAACAGGAAACTCTCATAACTCTTCTTAGCCACAGTACAATGAGGCAAGGGATAATAACATCCTCTTGCAGATGTCTTTCTCCCTACCAGTTGATACAGTGCTGGAAGAATGAGAGGCTTGTTTTCTGGTCCAGAAGACCTTATCTCCTGGGAGTTTCATTATTATCAACTGTTTAGCGTGCAGGTGCATTGGTGGGGGAGACTCTTCCTTGCAGCTCACATCTGGGCCAAGATTCCTGGATCTTATGATAAGTGATTCAGAAACGAGAGGGGACTTTGAAGCCACGTTATCCAACCCTCCTCTCCACCCCATTCCCTCCTTCCTTCTCCCTTGCCCTTTACAGATGAAGAAATTAATTCCCAGAAAGGAAAGAGGATCTGCCTATGGTCACATAGGCAGAGCCAAGGTTCAAAACCAGCTGCTCTCACCCCAAATTCAGGGCCCTTTCCACTATACCATGGCTGTCCCCTTCATGAGGTGTTACAGGTCAAACTTTGTCACTTGTGTTCAGAAGACAGTGTTCATAACTTCCATCATTGACATTTAGAAAAATCTTAGGTGATTTGTTTCTTTGTTTTTGTTTTTTGTTTTGTTTTGTTTTGTTTTGTTTGGGGTTGTTGCTTTTTTTTCTGGGGGTTTTTTGTTTGTTTTTTCACTTCTTCAATAGGTTGATGCCTGTGAAATATGAAGAATGTATACCCTACCCTCTTTCTAAGAATATAGGAAGACCTTATTTGCTGACATGGTTAAAGTACTTTGAACTCATTAAGATATACTTGCAGTGCTCCTTTTAGGCCTTCTCTCCTAATTAGGTCATAAAAGAGTGGCTGGTTATTTATTCCCAGGGTTCTAGGGGTAGGGCTAGGTTTCTAGTAGTTTTTTTCATGAACCCCAAAGCCCCTGTCCTGGGGCAGGGTAGGACAGCAGAAATAGCATGAGTTCCAGAGTCAGAGGACTTGGGTTCAAATTCTGCCTCTGACACTTACTGCCCTGGATGAATCACTTAAACTTCTGCGGTCTCAGTTTCTCCATCTATAAAATGAGAAAGTTGGACTACAGATAGCCTTAGAAGTCCTTCCAGCTTTAAATATGTGATCCTACTTTGCATATTTGCAGATGCCTATTAAACATTATCACATTTGTACACTATGTGGCATAGATAGATTGGAATCAAAAAGACGAGTCCAAATCCTGCCTCAAGACACTTACAAGCTGTGTGACTTTGGCCTTAATCTCAGCCTCAGCTTCCTTATCTATAAAATTAAGGAACTGGACTTGATGGCATCTAAGGTCCCTTCCAATCCCACATCTATATTCTTTTTTTTTTTTTTGTGAGGCAATTGGGGTTAAGTGACTTGCCCAGAGTCACACCACTAATGAGTGTTATGTGTCTGAAGCTGAATTTGAACTCAGGTCCTCCTGACTCCAGGGCGGGTGCTTTGTCCACTGCACCACCTAGCCGCCCCGCTACATCTATATTCTGAAGAACAGCCAGTTGACTTAATTAACTTTTAGAAAATAGGTTAACAAAGATGATACAAGTTAGTACAAAAAAAAATTCCTTCCATAATCCTAGTGTACAGTATCCCACAAATACATACAGGTCCATGGGAAGAGTCAGCTCACAGAGTACAGTAGCAGTGCAGCATACTTAGAAGATACACTTACTCTTATGGCAAGAAAGCAACTCACAACGACTGGCTTTTTATACCCTGGAAGTCCTCCCTTGATTTCATAGCCAGCATTCTTCTCTGATATTAGGGGTCACACTCCTGAAAGCTGCCTCCACCCTTTCATGACTGTGTTCTCTGATCACATGGTTAATATTGTTGTTGTTGCTGTTCGATCATTCCAATTGTGTCTGACTCTCCATGGCCCCATTTGGGGTTTTCTTGGCAAAGATACTGGAATAGTTTTGCCATTTTCTTCTCCAGCTTATTTTACAGATTAGGAAACTGAGGCTAACAGGGTCAAGTGATTTGCCCAGGGTCACACAGCTTGTACGTGTTGGAGGTCAGATTTGAACTCAAATCTTCCTGACTCCAGGCCAGGGGTTCTATCCACTGTGCCACTTACCTATGGTTAATGTTAGGGGTGAGGTAAAAGGAGAGAGAGAGAGAAGAGAGCAAGAAAAGGGATAGAGATAGGGAGAGGAAGAAAGACACTCTCCTCCCTCCAAGATTGATCCCTTCCTAGGGATCCTCATCTCCTGAACTTGGAATCCTCTGCCATTAGATAGGTTCACCATTTCCCTGACTCTCTGCTGAAATTCCTCCAGCTACTCAAATTCCCCCAGACTCTGGCTGGTTTCTTTGCTGAGCCAAAGACCTATTTCCTCTTGATCTAATCAAAGAAGTTTACCATTTAAAGAGATCGCAGGCTACAGATCTTCATGTTCATGCATTTAAAACTTCACACAATTATACTGATTACATTGAGACAGGGGGTGTGGAACTCCCTTGACTAATGTAATCAACATAACTGTGTGAAGTTTCAAATTTATAAACATGTATGTACATATATATATATGTATACATACACATACACATACACATACACATATATATTAGTTGCCCCTGTCAGTAGTTATAATATGTGTCAAAAAAGTGAATATTAGCAGCTTCTGCCAATGGACCTTTCTCTAAGGTATCACAATGTACTGAGTATTGGAAATATTCTATTTCAATGTACATTAAATACTGGGGTGTATGGGGTGTTCTGGGAGGACTGGCACCTCTGGTGTGAGGGCTTTCAGAGCCCTTTTTTCAGGGCTAGTCATCCACCTTTGGCATCCACCTATCACCCAAGTCTTACCTGTGGCTCCAAGAAGCTATAGCACGCACAGCAGCCACATCCAGACCGCAGACGGTCTAAACTAAGTTGAGAGTAACTGATAGGCCTCAGACTTGTCAGTGAGGTAGGGGGATGTCTACTCTAAGAATATGAAGACTTCTCCTGCTAGAATGGGAGGATGAGAACAGTTCATTCCAACAGCCATGAAGGCAGCTGGAGCAGGCATTGTGGAGCCCTTAGAGCTTGGTCAGCCATGGAAGCCATTGGTGTCAAGGTCATCCATTTCATCCCAGGCCATTGCCAGTCATCTTGACTTTTATCTTGCCACTGGACTTTGATGACTTTGGAAGAAAGAGTGAGGCTGACAACTCCGTGCAACTCTGCCTTACTTAAATCCAATTCATGCACAAGTCATGATATCACCCTGTGATGTCATTGGTCCTCTTCAAAAACAAAGGAAAACAACAACATTAAGCACTAATATTTTACAAAAATCCCTTAAGAGTGCTTTGGCCAACCTTCTTAGATGATGCTAAGATCTCCTTGGTCAATGCCTCTTTTGGCTAGACTGCTGCCTAAATGCCCACCCACTTTTTCTGAATCAGTTTGTATCTGAGGTCAAAGCTCCATAGCACATTTCCTGCTGTTGCCGTGTTTACCTTCTGTATCCTGCTGATAAAACCTAACTACTGGTTCTGTGTTCTGAGGAAAAGAAAGAGCTAATTACTTACTGTGGGCTACTTAGTCTATCAGAAGAAAGCCTGCTCCATGCATTTCCTTCAGAGCTACCTTCTCAAATGAAGATCTCAGAGAAGTAGAGTCCTTAAAATTAATTCCAGTTAGTTAATTGTTGCTTCTCTGTTATTTCTACCGAGGATTATTCTTGCTTAACCTACAAGCAGAACCACCTTTTCCCTAGTCTTATCAGCATTTCTTACTTGAAAAAATTATTTTCCTCTGTTTTCCCTCACCTATTCCTTAGAATATAGGCTAATATTGTGAGTCCTCTTATAAAATGTTAATTACAATGAAGGAGAGTAACTAGTTGAAGGTCACAGAAAATCTTGATGACTGGGGTAGGAATAAATATCATATCTCTGTTCTGCAGCTCATTATACAAATTCTCTTGGCTTTCTTAAATTAACTTTCCATACTTTCTTCAGTTAGGTTTAAGCTTATTTTAATTCACAGTCACATTTCTCTTAGGATAATTACATCCAATTCACATTTGCTGGATGCTAATGTTTGCATACATCAACCCTTCCAACACATGTATTGGCAACTTTCATTGATCCTCACCTATAAAAACTAGGTACTTCACAAATTGTCCATGCATTTACAGATCTCTGGGGAAGGACTTTCCCCACATTTCTGTAGCTTCCCTACCTCTACAATGTCCCAGGAGAGCCTATGAGGACTAAAATATATATTTTGACCTTCCCCTTGAAATTTCCATCTGTTGCTCCAATACTGACCTGAATATTTAGTATAATAGTGCTGACAATACAAACTGTTCTGTGTTCTTCATTCATTCACTCGTTCCATAGGCAATCCCATAACTAGCAATCACCAGGTGAACTGGCAGACAACTTTTATGGAACCTTTCAACACAAAGAGGTTATTGACTAATTTCTAAGTAACTTATAGAAGTTTTCCCACCATCAAATATTGTCACTGAAAATTGACCTGAAATACCCAGGATGTAAATGGCCCAATTGGGTCCATGCACAAGGTCCTTTGGCTTGCGTCTGCATGTTACTTTCTGTGTTGAATGGCAGTCTCTTCATGTAGGAGCTTGGTCTTCCATCTCAAGGGTTCTTTTAACCTTTCCTGTGAGCTTGGGAAAAAAAGTCATTTGCCCTCTTTGGGACTGAGTTAATTCATTTATAACCTGTCATTGATCTCCCTCCCTTCACAGCAGAGGTCATAGCATTGAGCACTGAATACAACTGCAAATTCACCTCACAGTTAGTCTATACACACACATTTATTCTTGTACAAGTACCTGAAAGGACTGATGGTAATTATCTAGTGGGAAAAGGTGCTTAAAAGTCACCAATCCCCTGTAAGGAGAGACATCTGGAGCCTTACTTTTCTCCCAAGTTCACCAAAGGAGGAAATGAGTCTTATTCCTTCCCATAGTGATCTAAAATAGATATCCTTGGCTGCTGTAGGCCTCAGATAAACTTTCCTCTCTGGAGACTTCTGGGGTAAATGAAAAACTCTTAGAATCCATTAGGGGTTTAGAGAATAGCAGTGGTTAAATGATTCTCAAAGGAGGAAAATCATTCGGGTGTTACAAATTGCATGAGGTGTACCATAAAACAAAAACAAACAAAAAAAGGATCAGTGGTAGTCGTTCTTTGGGGCATAGAATTTTCAGTTAGTGGCATAACTTTTGTCCAAGAATTTCTCATTTTCCCTTCAAAATCAATAAGAATGATAGCAGAGGGATATTAACTACCAGTATAAATGGGGAAAGTTAAAATATTGAGAATTAAAAACAAGCCCAGGTTATGTAGGGCAGGGTGAAGTATCAAAATCGGATTTTTCTGTGGCTGAAAAGTTTGTGCTTAAAACCATATGTATGAGGCTGATACTCCTTGGCAGTTTCCATGAAAAAGATCCTTTTTTTTTTTAAACTGGCCAGAGACACTTGCTCTTCTACTTCTATTCACAGTGATTCAGAGAGCTCTTGTCCTTTCTCCTGCTTGGCTTGCAACCTTTTTGGTTTGTAGATATGTTTGAAGATCCATTTGTCTGCATCCATTATTTAGGAAGACTATTCCAGCCATTCTGGCATTACCACTGCTGCTGTTCTTTGACATGCACAGCGCCTCAGCTCCTTACAGTCCTTTGAGAAAGCCCTTCCATTCAATATCGTCACACAGTCCCAGCTCCTTAAGCTGCTGAAGTCAATGGCAATATCAAATCTGAAAAAAAAGAATCAATTTTGGATCACCCCCACCTCCATCATCAAAAAGGAGTTAAGATCATAAAGAAGAAACAGTCTCTGTCTGGAATACTCTTACTCCTATGATGGGGTCACAAAGGCTAAGGCCGGAAGCTCTACTTTCTGCCACATTTTACTTACCCAATTCTCTTCTTACACTTTGGTAAAATAGAATAGAATTAGCTATTGCAATCAAGAGACAAAGATATTAATACAGCACCCTGTTGTGTACTGACCTATGGCAGTCACCTAATTCTTTGTACTTCAGTTTTTCCATCTCTAAAATGGGAATGATTGAACCTTTACTCTTCCTATCTCCTGGAAGCATATAAATATGACAGTATAGTATATAACCTTCTCTGCGCTCCTTTAAAGAAGAGTACAACCTCAATCCAAGACACTGCTTGACACGGTAAGAATTTAATATGTAGAGATTGCATCTGAGTGTATAACCTCTACTCACTCAGGTTAGGTGTTTTTTGATGCATGCCACAGAGGGAGTTATAACTTCTAATTGACTGGAAGAATGCTGAACCACAATGGGTGAGTGGAGAATGGCGACTCAAAATGTTGGAAAACCCCTAGAGATGCAAGCTTGGCCTTTTGAAAGGCAGACAGGAGATCCCCTGAAGCCTCAGACATGTGAAGAGGGCACCCAACGTATCCATTGACTTCTAGCCTTTGCAACTCTAGGGATTGCTAAGAGCAGATTCCATTTGACTGAGATCATTTTTTTCTCTTTGGTGGTGGTATTCAATTGTTTCAGTCATGTCTGACTCTTCATAAGCCCATTTGGGGTTTTCTTGGCAAGATACTGATATGGTTTGCCATTTCCTTTTCTAGCTCATTTGACAGATGAGGTAAACAGTGTTAAACAACTTTCTCAGGGTCACAAAGCTAGTAAATGTCTGAGGCCAGATTGAACTCAGGTCTTCCTGATTCCAGGTCTGCCTCTCTATCCACTGAGCCACCTAACTGCTCTTTGGTGAGCTGAATTCTTATCCTTCTCACAGCTGCAAAGGTCCCTTATTCTTTTATATCTTTAGTGTAGTCTAACCTGGATAATTCTCCCAATTTCCATTTACTGCTTACTTTGATAAAGGGGTTTACTGGCTATTCATGATGGTCATTTGTGTAACCAGTCTTTGGGGGGGGTGAGGGGAACTAGGTTCCATTTGAGAGCTCTCAGAGAAAGTGGCATTGGTCATCATTGTGGAAGCATTAGACTTCAGAGAAGACAACCCAACCTCAGGATCACCATTAAAGTAACTCACTTTTTTTTTAATCAAAAGGAAAAGAAAATTTCTTGCAAAAGAAATGATCAGCAATTACTAGTGTGAAAATATTCCTGCAGACATACTCTCCCATGTAGGAAATATGTGTCTGGCTAATGTAACAGAAAGATGGCAGAACATGTGCATGGCATGGATAGCTGTCAGAACCAAGATCTGGCCCACCCATCTCCTAGAAAGACTGTCATTTCTGCTTTTATGGAAAGCATGAGGAATACTGCGGCTGGGCTTTTTTTTTTTTTTTTTTTTTGATCCTTCACTTGTTTTCCAGAGAGGAACTGGGCTAGAAACATATCTACTTAAATAGTGGTATTCTGCAGTTGTAATACTTTGGACAGCCCAGGATCATTTACCCTGATTGCAGAAACTGACATTTAAAATAACTAATACACCTATTTATTAAAGTAAACAGTAAACAGAAATCAGGAAAGTTATATAGATTAGAATAGATCAAATAATACTCAAGAGTATAAGAACTCTTCATCTGAGAGTAAGGTAAGATCTTTGCTCACAAAAGAAATAGAGCAATCACCAAGGCCAGTCTCCTTTTAGCAGTATCTAGGTTGAAAGCACTAGAAATCAAGGGATATGTTGGGGCCCACTTCCCTACTGAACTGAGGCTCCAGGGGGATCTCTTTTTGTTATTCAAAATGTTAGGTTTGCCTCTTACAATCACTTCTCACGAGGATTTCAAATTCCCAGGCTCTAGCCTGTCATTACCCAACATTCTCTCAACCAACAAGGAGTTATGTCTGTCTCTACCACGTGCAGTAAAAATCACCCATCTTAAATGTGCAAAGGTGTTATAAAAAGATTTCAAAACTTTACATTCTTTGTTCCATAATCATCTTCCCTAAAGTGAGATTTCCATTTCACAATGAATTCTCCCTCCTCCCTTCATCCTCCCCCGTGTTACTGAGAGGCTGGAGTCTTACAAGTCAAAGGAATGAAGAGATCCATCCATCCACAGCCAGGGATTGCCACTGCCATTGCGGGACAGCCCTGTCCAATAGGAGTAGAAAAACTGAGAGTAGCTCTGAGGCATCACAAATTCCTGTAAGGGAGACAAAGAAAGTGGATTGTTCTTTACCTTCTCTTTGCACTTTTAGGGCATATCAATCAAAAGAAAAATTCTCTAATGATGTAACTTGAGCTACCACATTTGGACTAGAAGCAATCAATAAATACTTTTAAAGTGCCTACTATATGCCAAATACTGTGTTAGGGATGCAAGTACAAAAAATGAAAAAAAAATCCCTACTTTCAAGGAGATCACATTCTAATTGGAAACATATGCAACATAAGTACAAATTTAATAAACACATCCATATGTGTGTGTGTATGTATGTAATGGCTAAATACAAGGTAGTTTAGGAAAAAAGGGATTCGTAGTTGAAGGACCAGAAAAGGCTTCATGTGGAAGATGGTTCTTTAGCAGTATCTTAAAGGAAGAGTATGACTCTATGAGAAGGAAGTAAGGAGGGCATGCATTCCAGTCTTGTGGGATTGCTAGTGCAAAAACAAAGAGCTGTCACAGTATCAGATTTTCTACATAAGAAAGTAGAAATGGAATGAAAGAATACAAAGACAGGAAGAACAACTATATCAAGCCAAGTATAAATAGAGAAAAATCATCCAACAGTATTGTGAAGCCTTTGTGAGAACTATTCTCACATTTTCTGAAAGGACACTAATTTATTTGGGGGAAGGGGAAGCAAAATATTATTTCTTTTTTTTAGTTTTTTAACATAAGTTTTTATTGATAATTTCTATTTCTTATATCACCATAGTTGTTTTAAATGTCCTTCCCTCTCTCTCTCCCAGAGAGTCATCTCATATGACAAATGGTAATCTTAAAGGAAGAAAAACCAGTACAATAGATCAATACATTGAAAAAGTAAAAAAATATGTGCAGTGTTTAACATCTGTGGGCTTCCCACTTCCACAAAGGAGTGGTTAGGGATGTCTTCTCATATCTCTTCATTTGAGTCTTGCTTGATCTTTATAATTTTGTTGCTTTTACCTTCAATTTTCTGGTGTGCAGCCATGTTTTCCATTTACACTGTTGTAGTTACTGTGTATATTTTTTCTTGGCTCTGCTTACTTCACTATGCATCTGTTCACATAGATCTTTCCACGCTTTTCTGTATTCATCATACACATTATTTCTTATAGCACAGTAATATTCTACTACATTCATGTACCACAATTTGTTTAGCTATTTCCCAATTGATAGGCATCTAATTTGTTTCCAATTCTTAGCTATCATCAAAAGTACTGCTATAAATATTTTGGAATATATAACACTTTTTTTCTTATTGATCAATTCCTTGAGATATAATCCCAGTAAGGGAGTCGCTGGTTCATATTTTAGTAATTTTACTTGCATAATTCCAAATTGCTTTCCAAAATAATTGTACCATTTCACTGCTCCACCAACAATGTATTAGTGGGCTTATCCTTCCACAACACTTCCAACATTGACTGTTGGCATTTTTTGTCATTTTTTCCAATTTGCAGGGTGTAGGGTAAAACCAAAGGGTTGTTTTAATTTGTATTTCTCTTATTACTGGTGATTTGGATCATTCTTTCATGTTGTTGTGAATACTTCACAGTTCTTTTGAGGATTATTTGTTCATAATTTTTGATTATTTATCTATTGGGGAATGACTATTAGTATATATGGTTTAAATCACTAATAATAAGAGAAAGACAAATTAAAACAATCCCCTGAAAATCATCAAAACAATCTGGTACTGGCTAAGAAATAGAATGGTGGACCAGTGGAATAAATTAGCTATATAACACACAGTTGAAAAGGGCAACTAAGTGGCACAGTGGATAGAGTGCCAGGCCTGGAGTCAGGAAGACTCATCTTCCTAAGTCCAAATCTGGCCTCTGACACTTACTATCCATGTGACCTTGAGCAAGTTACCTAACCCTGTTTGCCTCAGTTCCTCATCTGCAAAAATGAGTTGGAGAAGGAAATGGCAAATAGCTTTAGTATCTTTGCCAAGAAAACCCCCAATGGGGTCACAAAGAATTGGACATGACTAAAATGACTGAACAACAACACAGTAGAAAATGAGCATAGTAATCTAGCATGTGATAAACCCAAAGATCCAAGCTTTGGAGGCAAAAACTCATCATTTGACAAAAATTGTTGGGAAAACTAGAAAGCAATTTGGCAGAAACCAGGCATAGACCAGTATCTTATACCATATACCAAAATAAGGTCAAAATGAGTAAAGAATTTAGACCTAAAGAGTGATATCATAAGTAAATTAAGGGAAGACAGAAAAATTTGCCTGTCAGATCTATAGATAAGGGAAGAATTTATGACCAAACAAGAGATAGAGAGCATTCCAAGATGTAAAATGAATAATTTTGATTACATGAAATTTAAAAGGTTTTGCACAAATAAAATCAATACAGCCAAAATTAGAAGGAAATTGAGGGGAGGGAGGGAATGTAATTTACAACAAGTTTCTCTGATAAAGGCCTCATTTCTTAAATATATAGGGAACTGAGCCAAATTTATAAAAATAAGAGCCACTTACCAATTGATAAATGGTCAAAGAATAGGATCCAGTAGTTTTCAAAAAAAGAAATCAAAGCTATCAATAGTTACATGAAAAAAATGGTCTAAATCACTACTAATTAGAGAAATGAAAATTAAAACAAATCTGAGGGACCACTTCACATCTATCAGATTGGCCAACATGAAAGGAAATGAAAATGAAAATGATCCGTACTGGAGGTGATGTGGAAAAATAAAGACATTAATACATTGTTGATGGAGTTATGAACTGGTCCAATCATTCTGGAGAACAATTTGTAACTATGCCCAAGGGGCTATAAAAATGTGCATACCCTTTGACCCAGCAATACTACTACTAGGTCTATGTCCGGAAGATATCAAAGAAAAAGGAAAAGGAAAAGGACCTATTTCTACAAAAATATTTATAGCAGGGGGCAACTAGGTGGTGCAGTAGATAGAGTACTTACCCTGGAGTAAGGAGAACTTGAGTTCAAATCTAGCCTCAGACATTTGACACTAGCTGTGTGACCCTGGGCAAGTCACTTAACCCCATTGACTAGCCAAAATAAATAAATGAATATATATATATAATCAGCTCTTTTTGCTGTGGCAAAGAATTGGAAATTGAGCGGATGCCCATTAATTGGAAAATAGTTGAACAAGTTATGATATATGATTGTGATGGAATTCTATTGTGCTATAGGCAATGATAAACAGAATGGTTTCAGAAAAATCTGGAAAGACATATGAAATGATGCAAAGCAAAATAAGTAGGAGCAGAACCAGAAGAACATGGTACATAGTAACAGTGATATTGTAACAATGATCATCTGTGAAAGACTTAGCTATTCTTATCAAGACAACAATCTAAGACAATTCCAAAGGACACATGAAGAAAAATGCCATCCATTTCCAGAGAGAGAACTAATGAATTATAAGTGAAGATTAAAACATACTCTTTTCACTTTATTTTTCTTGCATTTTTGCACTTGTATACCTGTTTGCAAAAGGGCTAATATAGAAATACGTTTTACAAGACTTCACATACGTTCTTTATATCACATTGCTTGGCTTCTGAATAGATGGGAGTGGGAGGGGTGGGAAGCAGGTGAGAACTTGGAGCTCAAAATTCTTAAAGATGAATGTTTAAAAATTTTTAAGTGTAATTGGGAAATATTTAATAAAATAAATAAAAATATAATTTAAAAAATATTTTCCTCATCCAACCCTTTCCTTCTTATCCTACATATATTAATTTTGTCTGTTCAGAAGCTTTTCAGTTTCAAGTAATCAAAATTGCCTACTCTATCTTTTGTAACTGCTTCTCCTACTCATAGCTTTGGGAAAATATGATCTGTTCTCTTCTAATTTTCATAGTATAATCTTTAATATTAAGGTCATTTATTATTTAGAATGTATTGTGGAATATGGTGAAAGTTGTTGGTCTAAGCCTAATTTCTGACAGACTGCTTTCCATTTTTCCCAGCAGTTTTTTAATCAAATAAAGAGATTTGTTTATTTATTTTTAACTAGGAAATTTATGTTTTCCACTTTATTAAACACTCAGTTTTTGAGTTCCATTTTTTCTGACCCTCCCTTGTCTAGTCTTTTCTACTGGTTTATATCTCCATTTCTTAACCAATACCAGGTGATTTTCATGACTACTGCTTTATAATATGGTTTGAGGCCTGCAAGTGACATTTCCCTTTTGTCCTTATTTCTTTTCATCATTTCCCTGGGTATTGTAGACGTTCATTTTTCCAAATGAATTTTTAATTGTTTTATCAAGTTCTGTAAAATGTTTCCTTGATAATTTGGTTTGTATAACATTAAAAGTATAAATTAATTTTAGTAACATTCTAATTTTTTATTTATATTGGCATGGACCACTGATGAGATTCTTCCAGCTATTTAAATTATTCTTCATTTATTTAGGGAGCACTTTATAATTGAATCTATTTAAGTCTTTTGTGTTCTTTGGTAGGTCAAGTCCCAGATTTTTTTGCATTTTATAGTTATTAAGAATGGGGTTGCTCTTTCTATTATTATTTCTTGTGTTTTATTGGTATTGTATAGAAAGGATGTTGATTTTAGATAACATGTTTTGTAGCTTGAACTTTTGCTGAAGCTATTAATGGTCTCAATTAGTATCTTTACTGATTCCCTATGATTTCAAAGTAAACCATCATATCAACAGCAAATAGGGAAAATAATATTTTAACCCAATTCAACAAGCATTGACTAGGTGCTAAACAGTGTGCTGCCATAAGACATACAAGCACTTAAAGGAAATAATCCCTGCCTTCAAGGAGCTTATGTGATACTAATTGAAAACAATATGCAAATAGATAAATATAAAAATATGCAAAATAAACACAAAGTAATCTGAAGTGGGAACACTAACAACCTGGGGAGTCAGAAAAGATCTTTTACCAAAGGAGACATTTGAGTTAAGTCTTGAGATGCCAAGACTAGAGATGCCAAGAACTGTAGAGGGAGAATTATCTTAAACATGGTGGGGGAGGGGGAGAGGAAACTATGCAAAGGCACAAAGACAGGGGAGAAAAAATATGTTGTGTATGGATGATATCAAGCAAAATAGTTTGACTGGAGTTTAGAGTGCATGAAAGAGATTAATAGCATGAGCCCTCAAATATGGGCTGGAGTTAGACTGATAAGGGCTTGATATGCCAAGGAAATTAGTTTGTATTTTGTCCTAGAGGCAATAGAGAGTCAATGGAGCTTCTTGAGCAGGGAAGCATCATGGTCACACCAATCATGTCAATTTAGCAGCCTTGTGAAGAGTGGATGGGAGAAAGAAGAGGTTGAATGTAGAGTGAAATAAAGCACTTTGATAGGCCAGGTGAATGATGACAAGGGCCTGAAGTAGGGTGGTAGCTGCATGAATGAAGACAATGGAGTTGTGGAGGTAGGATTGGCAAGTCTTATAACTGACCACATACAGCTAAAGGAGAATATGGAGTTAGAGATGACTCATAGACTATGAACCTGGGTGACCAGAAAAACAGTGGTATTGTCAATAGGAAAAGGGAAGTTAGAAGAAGGGATGGACTTAGAAAGAAAGATAATTATATAAGTTAAAGGCATGTTGAGTTTGAGATGCCTATAGGATTGCCAGATGGAGATATCTAGCGGGCAACTAGACATGTAGAACAGGAGTACAGGAGAGATATGAGGGCTAGACACATAGTCGAGTTGACTAACATAAGAATTGCCTAAGAAGAGATGATATTAAACCCCTGGGAGCTAATGAGATGACCAAGAGATAGATTGTAGAGAATGAAGAGGGCCCAGATTAGTGTCCTTGGCATATTGATACAACATACAAGGTGCAAGACATAGATGATGATCCTGCAAAGGACACTGAAGATTGGATAGACAGGTAGGAGGAGAACCAGGAGAGAACAATGTCACAAAAATCCAGAGTCAAGAATATCCAGGTATAGAGAAACAGTGGTCAATAGTTCAGTCAAGTGGTGGGTTCTAAAGCTAGGTTGTAAGGCATTGAGAAGTGAGTAGGAAGTATGAAAGTCAAAGTAATGAATATAGAACAACTTTTTCTTCCAAACATTTCTACTCAAAAAATACGGTTATGAAAATAGCAAGTTACCAACCCTTGTATCTATTTTCCTAACTCTGCAAAATCTTTATGAGAATATTCTGCCCAACCATCCAGAGCATCCTTAATGAGAATAGAATAGACAGACTTTCATAATATTTTATAGGAATTGATTTTTTACATCAGCCAATTGACTGAAAAGTGCAGAAACTATAAGATCCTTTTGTGATTATTAATTTTTTTGTTTATGAAACTTTTGGCTTGGCATTACAAAATGTTTAAAGGCTCTCTGTCAATAAGATGTCTCTGATGCATCTAAAAATTATATAAGATTCCTTGGGAAATGAAACAGAAGAGGTAACTTTGCTCAATGATCTTTTGATTATTAATATCAAATGAGACAAAAAAAAAACAGAGATGTATGCTCACCAAAGGTGTTTGTCACTGTCATGCAGACTGGTGCAGAGACCAAGCAGATGAGAAACTCCCTATAGGTGATGAGATCTTCCAGGTGCTCCTTTTTGTGGATAACCTTGGGCTTGTATCAAACCTCAAAACATTGCAGACCCTCCTAAATGAAATCCATAGTCACTCAAAAGAGTTTAACCTAACTAGTCACCTGGGAAAAACTAAGTGGATAAAGAATGTCTACAATCCAGACTATAATGTGCAATTGGATGGACAGCCCGTAGATTTTAGCCATCAGTATACATACCTTGAGTGGACAGCCTACAGATTTTATCCATAGGTATATATATCTTAAAGAAATACTGCAGGTGGACAATGAACTGGACTGAGAGTTGAATAAGAGGAAAACAGAGGATTGGGTTGCATTTGGGGAATTGTACTATTCTTTTGATGACCCCAAGTTTCTAAAACTGAAACAAAAATACAACTTTGTAGCACCAATATTCAGCTAATACTATATAGTCATTAGTAATTTTAAAAAAATCATCACCTCAGAAGAATCAAAATTGGCACTCAAAGGCAATGGAGAGATGAATGCCGAATGTGAGTAAGCTCAAGAATTGTGCACAAGAATAGGCCAAAAATAGATCATCAAAGAGATGTGTAACTGGAAAAGAAGAAGATCCAGTCATTTAGCAAAAGCAAGAGATTGCTACCCATGTAATAGCAAGAAAATTAAAGGAAATCATGTTGGGTGGATCTTCTGTGAAGAATTTATAAGAGGACATAGACGTGTCATACAAAATAAGAAGATATGGAATGGAGGAAGTATCCACATTGATGAGATTACATTGAGAGATCTGTAGATATACTGAAGCAATAGTTCTCATAGAGTGATCTGGGGACCCTTAGAAGTTCCCAAGATCCTTTTGGTGTCTGCAAGGTCAAAACTATTTTCATAGTAATGCTGTTTCAAATTCTAATATGGTAAATAACAATAGAAATAACCTACATAAACAAATGGTCTTTAGGGGTCCTCAATAAATTTTAAGAGTATAAAGGGATCCCAAGACCAAAAAGTTTAAGAACTGCTGTACTGAAGTACTCAAAAAGTAATGTCTATAAGTGGACTCTAAGGTCACAGACAGCAGCATATGAGACAAGGTTATATTCCATTTTGTCTTTTTGTCTCAAACTTTATGGAGGAGGTAGAACTTGAGCTGTGTTCAAGGAATTGTAGTCCTTGAACATGGGGAGAAGACAAAGGTGGGTATCTCAAGGAAGAGGAACATCATTAGCAAAAGCAAAAATGGGCACGTAGTGAGAGTCTTTACCAGTCTGTTCAGTTTTCAGTATGCCTTTATGTCAGCATACATGAATGCTGTCTGTTCCTGGAGGACAAGATCTTTCTTTCAGTCATTCTGGTTTGCAACCTGACAATCACTTGAAACTTTGCCCTCTCTCTTCCCCTATACAGTTCTTAGGGTTAATAATAGCACATTAATATAGGAATTTTGATGATGACATTGTTCATAGTGATGGTCTATATTTTTAAGTCAGTAATTTGTGTATTTGACAGGAGGATGGCTGTGGGTGTTTATTGAACAGCCAGCAATCCTGCTTTTGCCCATTTTACCCTATGCTATGATTCTCTTTCTTCCTTAACAAACCACTAGACATTTGAAACTCAGACATTCTTCCAGCTATCTGATCTGGAGTTGAAATACAGATCTTACTAGGTTTCTCCAGTCCTCATGGGAACCATCTTATTCATGTTGTGCTGAGGTGCTGGGCTAGGAAGTCTCCCTGTTATTTGCCTCCAGTGAAAGCTTCCAAAAAAGAATGGGTTCTGGAACCTGAGGCTTTACTTCTCTTCCTGTCTCAAAAATATTAGGCATAAAAAGCCCCAAGTAAGCACACCTTACCAGAACATCTTGTGTCTCTATCTTCAGAAGGGTGGAGTTCTCAGCAGTGCAGAAATGTTCACAGCCCTGCCAAGTGTTGCTTTCCTTAGAGAAACAGTAGCAACTATCCTTGTGCCACTTCCATTTCTTTGGGCAGGGGCTGCATCGGTGTTCTGGGAAAGAATCCAGACATTGTATTGATTTGATTTATTTAGCTGTACTCCTCCCGCTTTTTTTTTTTTTTACAATGGAGTTTTCTAGGGAGGTGGGGGGATGAAGAGTGATTAGGAAGTAATAGTGACATAAGAAAGAAAAAAAAAAGCAATGATAAAGCACTTTTTTTTCTTTGTAGAGGAAAGAAGTCAGAGTTAGTAAGTTCCTCCTCCTCCAAGTGATTGTCATTGCCCTCTTAAAGTTAAATAGTGTCTTAATCAGATAATCAATCAATCTATCAAGAAGCTTTTTAACTATGTGAATAATCACTGGGGATACAAAGTTAAAAGTGGAACAGGACCTGCCCTCAAGGAGCTTACATTCTGAGAAGTTCTAGATAACATTCTCTTATTAATTTCCCACATTACTTCATACCAGTCTGCTTTTCTAGACTTCCTGATATTCAGAAACTCATCATTCTGCAGCTGCAGAACTTCATCCTACCTTGGAGCCAATTAACCTTCCTCTCCCTTCCCTTATGCTTTCTTTCCCCTTGCCCCTTTTTCGGCTTTTAAAAAAAAATGCGTTTGGGCTGCCATTCCTTTCTTTGTATCCCCAGTGCTTAGCATTGTGTCTGGCACATAGTAGGTGCTTAATAAATGTTTATAGGCTCTGATTTTGTCTTTAAATAGTTGATTTCTACTTGGACAGGGGTTTCTAGTGGAAAGTCTCAGGGATGTCCTTAGCCTTATACTACTAAACCTTTTTATCAGTGGGTCAGACAAAGGTATGATTATAACTTTATAGGCAGAAGAAATCGAAAAGAATGTTGTGAACATGTTGGATAACAAAATTAGGATCCAAAAAATTTCTCAGCAAGTTCAAATGATGGGTCAAATCAAATAAAATGATTTTTAATAGAAACATATGAAATTTCCTGAATTCATATTAAAACCAATCAACTGTACAAGTATGAGATGGAGAAACAATTAATATAAAAAAATCTCTGAGGTTTAGTGAACAGCAAGTAGGCTGAGTTAACAGCTAAACAGTCCAAAATGCAAAGATGCTCTTAGGTTGCATTAAGAAAAACAAAGTCTCCAAAACATGGGAGGTTATGGGCCCATTATACTCTTCCCTCCGACTAGAAGACCTCAAGAGAAGATGGGATGATTTATCAATAAATAATCAATCAATAAACATTTACTAAGTGCCTTCTGTGTGTCAGGCACTGTGCTAAGCATTGGGACACTATGCTAAGACTGGTAGAGGCAGCTAGGTGGCCTAGTGAATAGAGTGCTGGGACCAGAGTTAGAAAAACCTGAGTTCAGATTTGATCTCAGCACTTAGCACAGTGCCTGGCACATAGTAAGGGCTACATACATGTTAGATATTATTATTATTACTGGTTAGGATTTACATTCAGATACAATTAGGCTACATGGTCCAGCCAATAGATGATCTTTTCCAGCTCTAAGATTCAGGGACTTTAACACAGGGGGAAAAAATAGCAAACAACAAATCATCAAAAAAAAACTCCTGAATGCTGAAACCCTTGTCCAAAAAGTCCATTGGTCTGGGATTCTCTCCGTACTGGAGGAGATGAAGACTGCCCTATGTCAAGGGCAGGGGGGAGCTAGTGAGAAGCAAAATAGCTCCAGTCTTCACCAGTCCCTTTGGGGACTCTACAAGAGAGAATCTGCATTGAGTCCCCACTTTGGGATTCTTCAGAGTCAGTCAGTCCCCTTTGGGTACTCTTCTAACAGGAGTTCCCCCTTCTGGATTCTTTGGGTACTCTTCCAACAGGAATCCTCCTTCTGGATTTTTCAGAGCCAGTCTCCTTCACAACCAGTCAAGCTTCAAGTCTTCTTTGACTTTTAAGTCATTTCATGCATTTCTTGACTTTTAGCTTGGTGAGAGAAGGTGGAAGAGGCCAACCTCACTTCAAGTTGCTGAAGATAAAGACTCCAAGATGTGAGTGGAGCCAGCAGTCTCTATCACATCTCTACCCTCAGTAGAGACCTTGGGGAATTTCCCTCAGGGTGAGATACAGGACTTTCTTTTGAGTTATCTTGCTCCAAATGAGAGAACTTCATTCTGTATTGTCTAGTATATATTCTCCTATATATACCTCCTCTGATTTCTGTTTTTCTATGATATGGATAAATGTGTTTTTTTTTTCTATTCACTATGTGTTCACTGTGGAACTCATATTAGGTAGGAAAGGGGTCAAACCTTGGATGTAGGGCTTGGGGTCCTCTTTCCCCCCAAAATGACAAAGCAATCCAGAAGTTAGATGGAATCCAATCATATCTCCTAGATGAACAATATTTAAGGGAGCAGATAGGTATAATTCTAACTGTATCCCCTTCTCTCTGAGGAGTCTTTCTGGCCCCAACTTCCTGCTTCCCCTCCAGGCAGGAACAAAAGTATCCCATGTAGAATAGTGAGGGGAGAAAAGTTTTGAGATGTCTATTCTTCCTCCCTTCAGGCGCTAAGCCTTTGCAACACGTGGGTCTCTCTACATGTGTGAGGCCCACCTCTTTCTTTCCCTATAGTGCTAACAAAAGCCCTATCAGGCAGACAGATAATAGGGAACTTACCTCCAGTTTTGTTATAGAGCTCCCGACAGAGCTTTTTAGCCAAGTGCTGCAGAGTATCTGTGAGCTTCCTGTTCTGGGCCTGGAGAGAATGTAGCTGTCGAGACAAGTTTCCCAGGCTTTCTTCCTTTTGAGTGAGAATATCCCTCTGGGTGATTGAGAGTTGACTGAGCTGAAAAACTGATCAACTGCCATGGTCAGAATGTGTATTGGAAATGCCCTTATCGCTATATATCACCTATATATAGGCTTTCTTGCTCCACTTTCTGTATGTACTGTCTACCCACCAGCATAACCCAGGCTCTCACTAAATGCTTATATGGGTGATGTAGATTACCCCCTGTGCTCTAGAATGGATTAAGGCCTGGAGCAAGCATGTACTGGCAATATTTAATATCAGGCTTTCTGTACATGTGACACACTTTTAATTTTAATCTGCATTTTTACATATAACATTTTTTCTTCATCTCTTTCTTTAAAAATCAATCAATAAAGGGGCAGGTAGATGGCACAGTGGATAGAGCATGGGCCCTGGAGTCAGGAGGAACTCAATTGAAATCCAGCCTCAGACACTTGACACCTACTAGCTATGTGACCCTGGGCAAGTCACTTAATCCCATTGCCTAGCCAAAAAAAAAAAAATCAATCAATAAACATGTATTAAGCACCTACTGTGTGCCAAGTACTGTGGTAAAAAGAGGGTAAAGATAGTCTCTGCCCTCAAAGACCTTAGAATCTAATGGGGGGGACACCATGCAAACAAATATATACAAAGCAAGCTATATACGGGGGGGGGGAGGAAATAATTAATAAAAGGAAGGCTCTAGAATTAAGAGGGCTTGGGGAAGGCTTCCAGTAAAAGATGGGATTTTAGTTGGGATTTAAAGGAAGCCAAAGAAGTCATAATGAGAATGAAGGACGGAAAGTTCCAGGAAGGAGAGATAGCCAGAGAAAATACCCAGAGCATGGAGTATCTTGTTTGTGGTGAGGCCAGAGTCACTGGATAGAAGAGTATGTGTTGGGGACTAAGGTGTAAGAAGATTGAGAAGTAACAGGGGGCTAGGCTATGAAGGGCTTTGAATGACAAACAGAACATTGTGTATTTGATCCTAAAGGGAACCACAAGAGTTTATCGAATTGGGGGGGGCGCAGTTTGAGAGGAGGGTTTGACATGATCAGATCTGCATTTCAGGAAAATCACTTTAGCAGTTGAATGGAGGAGGGATTGGAGTGGGGAGGGACCTGAGACAAACAGAGGCACTAGCAGGATATTGCAACAGTCCAGGCATGATGAGATGAGGGCCTGCAGTAGTGGTGGCAGTATCAGAAAAGAAAAGGGGGCACATTTGAGAAATGTTGCAAAGGTGAAATTGACAGACCTTGTCAACAGATTGGATACTGGGGGTGAGAGATATTGAGGCGTCCAGGATGACTCCTAGATTGTTGAGCCTGAGGGACTGGGAGGATTATGTTGCCCTCTACACTAATATGGAAAGTGGGAAGAGTTCTCTGATTTCCCAGGTGTAAATTCAGATTAAAAATTTAACAGTTGGGGGCCACTAGGTGACAGTGGATAGAGCACCAGCCCTGAAGTCAGGAGGATCTGAGTTCAAATCCGGCCTCAGACACATAACACCCCCTAGCTGTGTGACTCTGGGCAAGTCATTTAACCCCAATCGCCTCACCAAAAAAAAAAAAAAAATTAACAGTTGGCTCTCTTGAGCCCCTTGGACTGTGGTGATAGACAAGGCTAAATTTAAAATCTTCATCATTCCCATTTCAGGGCAAACCCTTGAACTCCAGTACAATCCTGAGTTTGAGTATATACGTACATTCAAGTCCTAATACTCCCAGTCCAATCAGCAACACCAGGCACAAAGTCAATAGAATTAGAGCAACTGGGCGCCAAGATGGAGAAGTAGTTGGGTATCCTAGAGAAATAAGAAAAATCAGTGATCAAGAGAGCTGGTCTTTCTTTTTTCCCTGGAACTAATTCAGCAATAATCAAACTCAATCAAACAACAAATATTTATTATGTGACCTATTATGTGCCAGGCACTGTTAGAGTTGGAGGACATGAAAATACAAATGGATACAGTCTTAGTGCTCAAGGACAATCAATAATACTGACATAGCCTCTGTCAGTGAATTGTTTAGCTTCAGTAGTCAGTGAGGCTAAAAGACAAGCATTTCATTTCTGCATAAAGCCAGACTCTCTCCTAAATCTCTCAATATCATTAATTAAGCTTTATATTTATGCATTCACATATATTTAATTTATATTATACATTATTGCATTATATACATATTATATCATATATACTTAATTTATATTTATACATTATATACTTAATTTATATTATACATTATTGTATGATATACATATTATATCATATATATGTAATTTATATTTTTACATTATATACTTAAGCACAGCCCTATGCTTATAGGCTCAAGAACAAGAGCTATATATCCTTAATGATCATCTAGTTAATCAGTCAATAAGCATTTATTAAGCACCTACTTACTACATTCCAGGCCCTAAACTACACAGGAAATACAAATGAAAAATGAGCTAGTTCCTGACTTCAAGAAGCTTATATTCTCCTTGAAAGATACTATGGAGTCACAGATAAGTTAAAATAAGATAGAAAAAAGCAAATGGTGGGGGAAGACTAGAAATCTACAAGTGATGGGAATAAGAAAAAATCTCTTGAAAGAGACAGAACTTGAGCAGAAACTTTACAAAGGCAGGTTGGGGTGAGGAGAGAATATTCCAGGTATGGCAGACCTTCTGTTGCAAAGTGATAAAGACAGAAAATAGAATATTGTATACAAGGAATAGAGTGGTTGGATAGGGGGGATAGAGTATATAAAATAAAAGTAATGTATAATCAGCCTGGAAAAATAGGCTGAGGTCAAATTGTGAATAACAGAGTTTATATTTTAATGCAAAGAGCCACTGAAGCTTCCTGAGCAAAGGAGTGAAATGGTCAAATCTGCACTTTAGGAATATAAATTTGCCAGCTTACTGTATGGTCAACAGACTGGAGAGGAGAGGGAGATTATGTATTTCCAGACAAATTTTGAGGCCATTATACTAGTCCAGAAAAGGAGTAATGAGGACCCAGACTAGGGTGGTTCTGGTGTGAATAGGCATAAAGAGTGAATGTGAAGTATGTCAGTTGCGGTGGATTTGATAAGACTTGGTACTAATTGGACGTCGAGGGTGAGTTTAACTTTTAATATTAAGATGAAGAAAGAGAATCCTAAAGAAGTGAAGTGATTTGTTTCAAAGATACCACCCAGGAAGTAGGAGAGCTGAACCAAATCCTCTGACTCCAAGTTCATTGTACCATTGTGCTTGCCTGGTTTTAGTAGGGTGGAGAAAGTAAAACACAAAATAAATGGAAGTCATTATCCCTGTCCTTTGAGAATTAGGAATTTAACTGGACAAAGACAACATAACTAACTGCATTAATTGGAGGGGAGGAGATCTCTAGTTTTTCAGGCATAACCTTTCTCATGTGCCCTAGCCATACTTCCTCCTCCTCCCTAGTGTCCCCTCCTTCCTTCCCTGCCCCTTTTCTAGAACTTTCCACATCTGGAGTCTTCTATGCCTATTAACTTCAAAACCAGAAAAGTCTAGCTTCTCTGTTCATTAGCTGTGATGACAGAAGCAAATAAAACAATTAAGGACACCACTCTTCCCCCCAAAACACTTGTGTTATCTGGATCCCTGAAATGCTCTCATGAATACAATGACTGTGGACTCAGAAGTCTTACAAAGAGCCTAGGGTGACAATGTGAGTGGCCTCTAGAAAGAACATTGTGCTTAGTACAATACCTGGTACATAGCAGGCGCTTAATAAATGCTAATTCACCAACCAACTGGACTCACTCCTCCTGCAATGGATCATGCCAAGGGCTGTCTGTGAAAATCCCTGGGTGAATCCTTTCCCTGATCTTTTTTGTTTTTCCTCCCACTTTAGAGGTCTTATTCTTGGGCCCAGGGGGACAGGTGGTTCAGCAGTCATAGTTTCAGATGCACCAGCTGCTGCGGCCAGGGGATGCTGCCCTAGTGCCCTTCCCTTGTTGCCCCAGCTTCCTGTTTCTATGTTCCCATGTTCCCTTGGATGTCTGCACTTAAGGTACATGGCATTCCCCCTAAATGCAACTATTAATAAAACATTTTTTTACAATTTAAATGAAATAAAAGGGTTTATTACTTTTAACATTGATTAGCTCAGCTATTATGTCAAGCTCCTTGAGTTCCAATAATGGAATTATTATAGTGCTATCTTTGTAAATGTTAAGGGGATACACAAACAAGACTGAAATTATTGAAATGCAATGGAAATCAATCAGCAATAGGACCTGAAGCTTTCTTACATAAATTTTTTTCAGGCAGTGTCAGCTGAGAAAAGTTTCTTTATGGGCTTGTCAACACTCATGCTAAGGTCTAAGGATACAAAGAAAGGACAAAATAGAAACAAGTCCTTGGCCCCAAGGAGTTCGCCTTCTCATGCATGGGAGAGATAACATGGTACATATCTCATGTACCTATCATGGGCAAATGGAGATACCTAGATAAATAGGTCCAGACAAGATACTTTATATACAATTTATTTTTTTTTAATTTTTTAGGCAATTGGGGTTAAGCGACTTGCCTAGGATCACACAGCTAGTAAGTGTGAAGTGTTTGGTCTGAGGTCAGATTTGAACTCAGGTCCTCCTGACTTCAGGGCCAGTGCTCTATCCACTGTGCCACCTAGTTGCCCTCTCACTTCTCTTTGAAGATAAGTATGTACTCTATTGTAGAGAGATGGGAAGTTTGAAAATCTTGCTGCCACCAATCTGTTGTGTGATTTGGGGTGAGGTACCCCTCTGTTTTCTCCATCTCTAAAGAATCAGACATCCCTCTTGCATTACAAAAGGGCAGTGAAGATACTTAAATAATTCAAAAGAACTTTGATTTCATTGTTGGTGTATTTGTCCCAGTGATGCACATCACAGCCCTTCTATGCCTTCAAAACCAGATGCATGAGGTGATGTGAGGGGACTCTAGACATATGGTTCGTGACCAGATGTGGAAAAGAAGCATTTCCACTTAGTAGAGGACCTGTAGGAAATTGTGCTTTACTTGAATGGTCTTCTCAAGGACTCCTCTACATCATGGTGACTATCAGAGTGAGTTGGACTTTGGTAGAAAACTTTGAGGAAGACCGTAAGCATATCTGCCTATGGCCTTGCAGGCCCTGGTAATGGGCAAAGTCTAATGAGGATTAACTACTCCATTGTCAGAAATTATCTTCCATGTCTAAAAACTGGACCTTTGAAAGTTTGGAGAATTCTAACTCTGGAGCCCTTTATTACTTTTTCCAGTTGAACTTTTTTTTTTGGTAAATTTATGCAAATTAAGATCCAAGCCTCCACCTGTGCAATATTCTTTATTTACAGACCTTGCAAGAATCACAAATCCAAAAGCAAAGGTATTTAATTGAGTCATAAATAGAGAGTTAGATTTAAGTCCTCTGCCAATTCCCCCCTCTCACATGCAAATAAGTTAAACTTTCTATATTTCCTGATGTATTGGATAGAGGAGGAAAAAACCTTCGGGGAAAACTTAAAAAGGGAATAAAGAAACTAGCTTTCAATGCATGGGTAAACAGGATGAGGGAACTATTCATCATTGCCCAGTTTCCTCTTTGTGACAGTCTCTGAAGTTTATTGCAAACCTTTAATTGGCTTTGATTAAATTTTGGGCTGCCAACATTTTCCATGCATAGTGGAGCTCATGGGTCCTTGTCTTCTGGTCCTTGTACTCTTGGAACTTAGATAAACCAAGTACCGTTGTCATGTCAATATCTCCCATACAATGGACCATGTCCTTTAACATCAAAGCACCTCATTATTGTGCTTCTCTTACAACAGTTCAAGAACACCCCAGACTCCCCTTTCCATATGGCTTTCTATTTTCTTCCGTCTTCTTATTCAAGTTTTCAGCTCCTGATGGAATACTTGCACCCAAGCATCAGTCTGCATAGGATTCTGACATTCTGGATCTTCCTCTGATGAACAGCAGCCCCCTCTTAGATACAAAATAAGTACAGTTCTAGGATGCAAATGCTACTCATTATTTAAAGCTGGGGGAAATTCATCTTACAATGTGTAGGCAGATAGGGCAGATATTCTCACAGTCTTTCAAATAGTCCTTCCTTCACTAATGTCCCACTCAGTTTGATTCTCACTGCTGTATGGAAGTGACCTTGAAAATCCTGTGCCAGGCGAGCACAATATTTGGCACGTCCTATACAAAGTGGAAATACTTCTAATTTCAGACTGATGACAGACTTTTTTTTTAAGTAATGAGATGCAGGAAAGGACTATTTATATACATATATTATTATTCTTCGGGATGTTTATATCATTCTTTGACCTGTCTATATCTCTTTGCCAAACATGATTCAGTAAACTGTATGGGAGTTTCCTTCTAAAAAATAAAATCCAGTTAAAGCCAAGCCAAACAGAGGCACCTCCCAGGCAGTTTCAGCACATGAAAAGCCGCTTTGTTCCGGGATGGAACCCCTTGAGAGAGACCTCATTAAATTTGAGGGCACTTGGAACAATCTTGAAGAACATAAAACATAGAGGGAGTAAAAGCACTGGAGGGAGGAGAAGTCAGAGATATTTTGACCCTATACTTTTTTCCAAAGACAAAAGGTTCAAGCTGAACTAGGCATTAAGGCTACTTTGGAAAGCTTCTAAGAGTCATAATGATGAAAATTTTCAACTACAGCAAGGATGAGTAAGTTCTGGGAGAGGGGGAGGGGGAGGAAAATATCAAATAGATGTACTCCATACGTAATCAGCAAAAGATGGTTCCCCCCAAATGATACTGGAAAGCTTTGACCCATCTATGGATATAACT